TATTACGTTCTTAAGTGCGCATCTCATAGCATTTGCTTTACAATACCTTTTAACAGATTGCTTTCCAGTATGAACAATTCTTGCTTAAATAGTTTTATAACGTATTTGTCAACAGGATTTCAATTTATGTTTACAATTCAATATTAAGGTTATTATATATTTAGATAACATTTATAATCATTTTAAATTAGATACATTTAATAATTAGATTTCTTCACAGTTGTTTATAAGTGAATAAATTCTTCATTTCAAATACATTTATAAATAATTTAATGAATATTTATGTATCACTCTTCTGTTCCACACATTTGTGTAAAACTGTACATAATTTTACACACATGTGTGGTTCCAAATCAAGGGAAAAGCTAACTTGTTGGCATATCTGTGTGTACATTTATTAATTTTGACGAGGATTGCAGCATTTGATGGTAATTTTATTTTTAATTAACCCAAATAAGTAAAATGTGTAAGCCCAAAGTGATCATTTTTCAGATATATAAAATTAAAACGATGGGTTTAAAATGAGCAACAGTAAAGCCTCTCCTCTAAAAAATTTTAAAAGGTACATGTTACAATAATATATGGATGTGAAAAAAATTTGTTTTATTTAAAACATTTTGACGTTTGGAAAATAAAATAAAAGTAGCGAATACTCTATCAAGGGATCGAAAGACATATACAATTTTAAATGTACCGTAAGGTATTTTTCATTCTTTAAGCATAACATTTTTCTTAAAATCTATATTTTTGTAGTGAAACAGCTTAGAATTTTATAAAACAAATTCATAATCAAAATCGCTGTTGTTAGTTATCGAAAAATAACCAAGATGCGATTTTTGCGTAAATGTCACTAAACTATACAAATTGCTATTATCCATCACACTATGAATGTTTCTTTCATGCGAAAGTGTCTCTTTTTCGATTTCTATGGAACTGTCGTGTGTCGAAACACTATCAGAATCTTGTCAAGCGAGCTTCTGAATGTAAACAAAGAACACCCCATCTGGTGACCCAAGCTTCAAAGCAGTGCTTCACTTTTAGCGCGATTTTGGCCTGTTGGCACCTCCTCCCTTTCTTACCTCCATGATAAATGTAGTCACAGTTTTTTTAAATTCTTAAATTACAATATTAAGCTAGCATTTATTTCTAATTTTTTCTCCTCACATTGAAATTAAATATTAATCTAGCATTTATTACTTTTTCTCCTCAAAGTTTTCTTTAATCTTCTGAACGATATATGTGCTCAAGATTCTGTGTTAATTTTTAACTTTATGTGGTAAGCCATTCCCATTCTTACAAGAAGCGAAACTACTTTTCCATTTGCTTAAAGCACCGGAGATGTCATTCATATGCTTTTAAAAGGTACTTTTAGAGTAAAATTATATTTAAAAATGCTGCAAAATATATGCATTTAAAATTACATATAGCATTAAAAGTATACATATTTTTATTGCAGCATCTTTAAACTAAATAGTGTCAATAATATTTTAATTCATACCAAAAAAGTTACCTTTACCTATTTTAAATGTATTGTTACAGTGAAATGTGTTTTCAAATAGAAAACACACTTAATAGTGGTCTCAAACTGACTGGCAACCAAAGCTATTTTACATAGCCTGTGAAATACACTTTCTGTAAATTAATTAGCATTACATTGATAAAAATTTGTAGAAAAGTTTACGACTTTAATGATTTGGAGTCCAATGTTACAGTAGCTATTAAAAACAAACATCAGTGATGCCCCAGAAAATCTAGAAATGAAGTTAATTCATTTATGTTTTGATATAAATCTTATTCAAAGATTTGAAGGTGCTTATTTGATTAATTTTTTTCAACCTTGTTTGAGAGTATGTTTATTTGTGAACAGTTTTCCCCCCCCCCACGGCTAGAAATTAATAAGTCCAAAATACTTAATGAGCAACTACAATTTGTAATGAAAATAGTTTCTAGTAATTTTTGTGCAGGGTTACAAACCTAACCAAAAGCGAAATATTGTGAGGTGTTGCTATGCAAACGTGTATTTTTTCAGTATGTGTCAAAGAAACATTTCATAACTAAAATAATGAGAACAGGTTATTTATTCTTAAGGTTTTTTTCACTTGGGGAAGTTTTCATAGTTTATTTTTGTTTTAAGTAAGTTATTTAAAGTTTAATTCAATACATGAACATTATATGAAATAAATGTCAGTCTGAAAAATTTAATTTTTGGCTATCAGTATATTTGAATTAAAAGTTTAATAAAAAATTTCCTGTGGATACCAACTTTTAGATTTCACTCGGAAAATGAATATACCTTGATTTTTTTTTCTTTGCATGATTATTATATTACTGTTTATGTACATTTTGATAAATATTTAGTTAACAATGTTTGCTTTTTTAAAAGAAATTCAGCTCTACAGCTACTTTCAGATCATGCCACTTGGCCCACTTGCAGTTTAAGTTTGAGACCACTGCTCTAAATGTCACAGGTTCCATTACTGATTTAGCAATAGGAATATGTGGCATTTTTTTAAAACTTTCTTAATAGACATAAGTAAAAAAAAAAAAAAAATAATGTACAGGCTTTTTTTAAGTTTACAACAAATTAGAAAAGTTTTTTAAGATGTATTTTTATTGTGATCTCTGCCCTTTCTCACTATTGCATCCATGAAATGCAGTTAATAACTTCAAATCAGAAGAATGAAAAATAACCATTGTTTATTAAAATATCACATATGTTTCATACTTGCTTTTATTTCTGGTGTTTTGACACACTGTTAATAGTTGTCTTTTTCTGTTGGAAAGATAAGTTTATAAGTTTATTTTATATTAATGTAGCTGATAATGTTTTATTAAAAGAATGTTTACTTTAGGCTAATTATACAAAAATCGTAGAATAGGCATAGTAATCAATAGGCTAATTATAAAAAAATCATAGAATTGATAATTTTCTTTTTCATGTTTTGATTCTTGGAAATGATTTACTCAGTAATAAAAGTAATTCATTTAAGTAATAAAGTCATGATAAGTTGAATATTTTTTTTAAACTGCAATTAAAAATATTTCTGAAAGTATAAATTAATTGTTATTTTAATATTTTAAATGAGGCAATGGAGGGAAGTATGTTAATGCAGTTGTCACAATACAGAAGGCATTTGAATCTGCTGTTTTTATTCAAGATTCTCAAGTAATAATTAATACAGTTTTTACAACTTACATAATTTTGCATATTAAATTCAATTAAATGTTTTAAAGTGTAATTATCAGTTTTCAGGCTAGTATAATGTGCAGGGGGAGGGGGAAGTAGAAGAAAAAAAAAAAAAACTACATGGAACAGAGAAACAAGATTATTTCTCCATTTGCAGTTATCACATGCGAGTAAGCTTAATTATAACAGCAATTTTGTTTGAAGTTGCCACGCTTAATACATCTTGTGGAGTTTCATTTTCACGATGAAGCATATTTTACTAGAAATTATTGAAGTAGCTTTTTAAATATTTTAATATTGAACAAACCCTTTCACTTTCATTACCTGTTTAATGCAAGTCATAAATTAAAGTATAAATCTAATGCTTTTGTCGTTTAATTTTAGAGCTTTGTTAAATGTTATTTTCATTACTTTTTAACAGTGTTCATAAGAGGGGGGTATTTTATAGGAGTTTTTAATTTTTATGTAATTCTCCCAAATCAGATTTGTATAATACAGTCAAAAGTCGTTAATCCGGACTCGTCGGGACTTTGGCGATTCCGGATTATAGATTATCAGTTTAAATCTCGTAAGATGGCATGCAGAAATTCTAAAATTAAAAATATGAAACCGTAATTTATGAAATAAAGAACAATTATGATCTAAAGGGTATTAAAATTTACAAAAAAAAAAAAGTTTAATATTATTTGTTTACTTTATTAAAGATTTCCTTCAATGTGAGTTGTTTAAGTTGCTTCGTTTTATGTGATAATACTTTCTCTTTAATTCTATAAACAGACATAATTTCTTGTTCAGTTACAAAGTTCCGCTGTTCAAGTCCCGTAATTGCTGTGCCGAGAATACCGACTAACTTGTCAATCGAAAGTTTTTCGTTTTCACTAACCTCTCTGTCACCTTCTTCATGTCTTTATCCATTTCTTGCAGCAATTCCACTTTTTGTTTGATGGACATCGAAACATACTTTCGTTTTGTAGATCCTTTGGGAGCTCCAGCATCGGAAATTCTATTTGACATAATCGAAAGTTCAAGTTTACTTTTATAAAATTGCTCTTACAGTCTGCAAAAAATAATAAGCCAGATCCAACTCGAAGATTAAGGAACAACGCAATCAACATTAACTGAAATAGATAATTAGATAATTTGAGTTTATACCGTCCGTTCTATATAAAATGCACACGCGAAAATGTATTTGCGCTTGCGCACACGCATATGCGCAGTCGTAAAAGGTCTTACGCGCACGTGTCAACGCGGCGCATGCGCAGAAAGTTTTTAGCTTTGAGGTCCGGATTATGGGTGTCCGAATTAATGACTTTTGACTGTACACATTTTAATTTTATGTAATATTATAATTTTTACCTCATTTTTTTATAAATGCTTAAAATTTTAATTCATGATAAGTATCTTTGAAGGTATATTTGTTGCATTATAAGGATAGAGACATGTTAAGTAATGTTTATTGGTAAAAGTATTGTTATAAGCCCTGTAGAGTATTTTATATCAAACTTGTCAGAACATTTGCAATAGTTCTTGAGCCTAACTTTTTATAATTCATTTTTGTTTCAGACTTCTGCACATTATTGTACATTTCCTTAAATTAGAAAAAAGAACATAATTGATATAACATGAGGATAATTTGTAAGAGTCATGTTTCTTTCCTTAGACTTTGTTACATTTGAAACAATTTTTTCCCCTTATTCCTGCAAATATTTGCTTTATATAAACTCTTGTATTTTTTCTTACACTGTATTAATTTTTGTACTGTATAGGTAACTTGTTTAACTGAATCATTTGTAAACATTAATATCAAACATACTGGAAATTAAAAGTATATTATTTATTAAAATATATTGCATAAATTTGTTACAATTTAAGTTACATGAAATTCACTGAACTTGTGATCCTGAAGAGCTTTCATATTTTAAAAATTGATTCTTGTTAATGTTTGACAATCAGTATATATACCAAATAATACAGTAGTAATAAATTGTATAATTTTCTCATATAATTTAAATAATGAATAAAGTAAAAAATTTTATGTCTCTATACTGTTTATTGTTCTGAATCTCGCAGAAATATGCACAATCCCGATACATTAGTAACATTCTAGTTGGTAAATTCTAATTATATATGGTATTGTGGAAATATTTTATTACAGAACAGAAAAATTATATCATTAATTTCCCTTGAAGCTTCGTATGGATTTTTTAAGATTTTATTAGAAGCAATAATTAAAATATATTCAATAAATTTCATAAACAAGCAAAATAATTATATAAAACATTTTTTAAATTCTGCTTTATATTTAATATGTTAGCAAAGAATGTATTTAAAGCCCCTTGATTTAAACTTCATATGCTTTTGCATCATTACTATGTAGTGAAGCAAAACTGAAAATTGTCAATCACTTTTTCAGGTTAACAGTCTGTCAACTAGTAAAATTATTCTGGGTCCCAAGTCTTTGCAAAGTAATAATAAGCCATTTTTTGCCATATTCAAATCATTCATAATTCTTGCTATTTTAACTATTAATTGGATATATTCAAATTTATAAATTTAATTACATGTCTTCAGACTGAGGATTAAAAAAGTAACATGATACAAACCGTAATTTCAAATTAGAATTTTAAAAGTACTGGAAACTTGATAATGAATTTTTAAAAAACCAGATAAAATTGAAAATAACACTAGTTATATTTTTCATAAATAAAACAGTCAGAGGTCTTGGACTGCTGAATTTAGTACTTGCTTGCTTTGAGACTTAAGATTGTAGTATAGAAAAGCTTGTCAGTACATATATCAGTTAAATAGCATTTGCATGCTTTCTTGGTAATCCAAAATGAAAATGGAAGAACAAAGTTTGTAGAAAAAATAACATTTAAAATGAATAAATAATTTCTTACAAAAATTATTCTACATACAAAATAGGTATTACCTTAAGCAAAAATATAAAATCTGTGATTGCATTTGTGCTGATATATCACTGTATACTTTCTACTGAGTATTTAAAACTTTTTATGTATACTTTTAACTCTATATTATCTGCAATCGTATCAGCACTCACTGTAATATATATTACGATACAATATTTTTGGAAGATAGGCCAAAGGTGGTAGCAAAATCTGAAGGCATCAGAATTTAAGAACTGTAGTGATTATAATGGGTGGCAATAGGCTCAAATTTGCAACTTTTAAGGTGACAAGCTTTTATGTTACATAACTACGTCTTAATGCAAATTATGCTTATATACATTTTGCATATCCTAAGCTTTCTCATTTAAGAACCTGCAAATATCTCGTATGTTCACTTCAAAGTACTTGAGATTTAATCACATAAATATGACAATTATATCAGTCTGATGCAATGCAAAAACTATATTATAATGAAATAACTCGTGATTAATACAGATAAATATTTTTCAACAGATTTAAATCCAAAGATTCCAAAAGTATGTTTCACAAATAATTATTTTGATAAAACTGAATAAATTTTGATGAAACAGAAATAAATACAGTTCATTTTACATATCTTTATTAAGAAATTCTTAAAGACATAGGAAGAACTATACATAAATTCAGTCTTTAAAACTTCGAAAAAATACTATTATATGAAAACATGAGTTATTTTTCCATAAACATTTTCATTAAATATTAAATTTCATGTGTATTTTAAATAAATTCAGAAAGAATACAATTTCCTTCTTTGAGACATAAAAAATATTTTTTTTCACAAGAACTTGCCTTTATAATTTGCTGCACATGAGATTTTAATAAAAACTATACATATAATCATAATTATGAATAATTATTACATAAATTTTTAGGGCTTTACTAAAATATGTTCATAAATTTTCAGTACAAGCAATACAAAGCTGTTAATTTTCACATATATCTTCAAAAATTATATAATGAAACCTAATAAAATAACTTTACACATTAACTTAATGAAGCTGCTTGCACTTGTTATATTCTCAAATATATAATCAGTTAAAAGTATTGATAAACTATAGGCAAAAGAGTAAAAAATGTTGTGTAACCTCATAAGCAATAAATAATAAACGGCATTTGTTGAGACTGTCAGTATTCATGTAAATGAAATACATCCCCATTGCATTCTAAAATTAACCACATCCCAATACTTACATGTTAAGACTGTCAGTGTTTGGTCCAAAAACCAACAGGCTTGCATGTTAAGACTGTCAGTGTTTGGGCCAAACACTGACAGTCTTGGGTTGTGGCAAATAAAAGAATTCAATGGGGTTGAGGTTACATCAACCACAAATGCGTGAACCATTTCCCATGTCTGAAAAGAAATTTGCATTTCTTTTCAGACGGGAAGGACTGGTATATCTGCAAATCATTTTCTTACATCCAGGAAACATTTGCAAATAGATCAAAAAACTTATTCCTAAAAAGAAATAAAAATTTAATATAAGTATTCAATGGGGTAACACACAGAGATTTACAAAAAAATTATATAAATCATTTAATAAAAATATTCCAAAGATTTTTCAATTTTTTAGATCTAAACAATAAGTAATTTAAAATTATGACCCCTCCCAAAAAAAGCAAATTTAGTTTTGGCATGGTGTTTAACAAAACCTGCATCAATTTCGAGGCTGATCAGACACAGATCCTTCTTTTTCAGGAGCAAACAAATTCTTTCAAAGACGAGAGAAGCACGGAATATTTTATATCAAAAGCAATGTGCAGAGTAAAATGAAAATGTGTGTCATACCATTATCAAGGATAACAGTAATATGAACTGAAAAAAATTATACAAATTTGAAAATGTTAGGTAGAATTAGACTGATATTAATGGCATTAACGTAAGGTACACTGCTTAAAAAAAAAAAAAAAAAAAAAAAAAAAAAAAAAAAGAGAGAGAGAGAGAGAGACAGTTTTATATCTCCTGTTATACTGGGCCAATTGACAAAATTCAAATTGCGTTCTTCGAAAGAGCGACTTAGGATATATATTAGATTTATATATAGCACTATTCTTACATAGGTATTTTGACACAAAATCAGACTTTTTCTGAAATAGCATACCATTGTTTTTACATATTTTGATTCTACAACTCAAATTACGCCTAAATATTAAATTTTGTAAAATTTGGAGCGAAATTTACGGAAAAATTCACAAATTTATGTTCGCCCTTTTTTTCAGTTTGTGCCAAGAAAAGGTCACTTGGCGAACTTCTTAATATATGGCAACCTAGTTTCCTTTCCCATGAGAGGAAAAAAAATGTCACAATCGTTCCTTTTTTCGAAATAATATTCTTTATATTATATTTTTAATTATAACTTATTATTTTAAGTAATTTTTTTCTTTTTTCGAATTTCATTTTAATTGTTTAAGTTGCATGTTTTTTTTTTTTTTCGAATAACTGTTTTAAAAATTTCTATTTACCTATTCGAACTGCGTAAATAAAGGTGCATCGTTCATTTTTTGTTTTCAAATACTTTTTTCTTTATATATATATTTTGTCATAGTTATTATTTTAGGTAATTTTAAAATTTTTATTCTTTTATTTAATTGTCAATTGTTTGTATTGCATTGTCTCTTCAGATAATTGTTTTAAAATTTTCTATTTATTCATTCCTTCGAACTGAGCATTTTAAATATATTTATAGTATATAAATTTTTTCCAGAATTTGATTTTATTTATTTGAATTGCGCTTCTTTCGGAAGAATACTTTGTAACCCAGACTATGATGCGTTTGAAAACTGCACATATTAAAAGAGAAAATACAGTAAAGCACAGCAAACATGCCTTTCAATGTTCCATTCAGAAAACATATACTATGTAAATAAGAGAGATGTATAACAGATATTTCAACTTAGGATGACTTGCATACACTGCTTTAAACAGTTTTATCATTGTGCCCATTGCTTTACACATTATCCTACCTTTGGTTTCTTAAAATCTTATTCATATTTTAGTCAAATATTTTATTTTTGAAATCGCAAGAATCCAATATCATATGATTAAAAAAGTTTTAAATTAAAAAAAATACAAATACTAAATTTTACGCAAAAATTTATTTTTTCTTCTCTTTTTCTTCAGGCATTCTACTTTATTCTTGTTCTTTTTCTTTAGGCATTCTGCAAGTATATTAAAAAGTATCCAACTTTTCGAAACATCTTGGTATTTCTGACAATCACTTTAAATAAAGTTATCACCTTCCATTTCATAAAGGCCCACAACCGGCCGAGCGGTAAAGTCGCTGAACACTGGTAGTTCTTTCTGGAGTTTGAATCCTGATATGTATACCGCGTATGCCAGCTGGTTTCCCTTAGAAAGTTCTTCACGAAGGCATCCTTCCTTAGGCAGATAGCCCTGCTTTGCCAATTCAATCCATTTCATCAGTATTTGGTCAGAGCCTTTATCAGTCTTTAGAGGCTAAACATTTTGAAGGTGAAAGGAAAGACTGGTTTCATCAAGAGGTTTTGGTTTATTTAATTATGACAAAGCACACTAGGGCTATCTGCCTAAGGGAAGGGATGCCTTCGTGGCTGGCTCACATACACGTTACACATGGGGAAAACCACGAAAATGCCCACGCAGCCAGCCCGTTCGCGGGATTCGAACCTCGGACCGAACTAACAGTGTTCAGCGACTTTACCGCTCGGCAGCTGCTTCATCAGGAGGGGAAAAAAAAAAAAAAAAACATCTTTAGGTGACATCCACATACATCACTGGATAAACTGAATCTTCAAATAATTCGACTGAAAAAATCATGGGATTCTCCATTTATGATACGATATGATGTTCTATAACGTAATTTAAACTTATACAATCATATAGTCTAAAACCAGTCGCTCTTCACTTTAATCTGCAATGATATCGTTTTCGTCTTTTCTGTTAACACAAGCTCAATTGATGGCATTTGCTGGTGTACACGTCCAAGTGTTTTCTCTTTGAACACCTAAATTCTTTGAAGTATCCTGAAAGTATATTCAAATGCATCCAACTTTTTGAAACATCTTGGTATGTCTAACAGCCAAATTTCCCTGCAAATTTTTGCAAAGTTACTTGAAAAGTTACTTTTCTCCCTAAAAAAAAAAAAAAAAAAAAAAAAAAAAAAAAAAAAAAAAAAAAAAAAAAAAAAAAAAAAAAAAAAAAAAAAAAAAAAAAAAAAAAAAAAAAAAAAAAAAAAAAAAAAAAAGATTTCTTCTTTCCTTCTACAGTTATTTTCAGTGCTCACACAAGAAAATTAAGATTTTTCGATTGCTAGACTTCCGTAAATTTTCCATTCTTGTCAATTTTTTAAAATACCAATTACATGAATTGCGTTTTAGCTGAAGACAGCTTTTCATTTTCTAGTCATTTTAACTTAAAGTTTAAAGCGAAGTCCAAAGGATAAATATTTTAATTAAAAGATTTCTGCTAAATGACAAAGAAATAAAACAATCCAACGGGGTTTATTCTGTAGCACCGAGTGACCTGATTCTTATATCGGCTGAAACAATCTAAATCATATTAAAAATCATGTTTTTTTATACAATCTATAACGTGCGAGAAAAATTAGCTTCTTAAAACATTCTTTCTAAGAGGATTAATATAAAAGATTATATTTATATATATATATTTTAAAGCTGGGACTTGAACCAAACTGTCAAACTTTTAAAGTTTAATTTACATGGTGGTTATAATTAAAGTTCCACTTTGAAATAGTCATAAAAGGAAAACTACCGGACCAAATGTTATCAAACTTGGGAATCGAGTAAAGGAGGTTATGGGAATTTATTTTCCGTGGGGGGGGGGAAGAGTTCAAAAACTTACCACCAGGGGAAAAATGGCACTGTATGCTATATTGTTAAATGAAATAAGACATGAAAACATCTGTTTAAAATGTGTTTAATAGTTTCCGAAACGTGTTCCAAAGCATGTTCAATGTAGCGTCCAGCATTTTCCGAAAGCAAGTTAAATCCTGTTACTGCATTCTCAACAGCAGCTCTTAGCATATCAGGAGGAATTACGGACATGTCGGTGTATCACATTTTTCATTTTTGCCAAATTGTTTAGATTATCACCATAAACAGTGCTTTTGAGATAATCCCATAGCCAAAAGTCACAGAGGTTGAGGTCTGGTGGGAAGAGGGGAAGTGTCGGCCTATAAGACGTTCATTCGTGAAATGTTGCCTAAGTAACTGTGCGACACATGTGAGGTGGGGCCCAGCCCTGCATAAAAATCGTAGTAATCTAAAATGCCACGTTACTGCAGTTCATGTATCACGAAACATTTTTAACATTGACTCTAAGCGAGCTGCAATCACAGTGGTCCAGCTGTCGACTGCTCTTCAGAGAAAAATGGTTCAGTTATGAAACTAGCTGTCATTCAACACCAAACGGTGTGGAATGACTGCTATGCAATCGAATGCAGTAGGAGAATGCAATGGAACTAGGTAGATAACATGAGGGATTTCTTTGGCCCAAATCGATTAAAAGCGTTTTGAATCAGTATTTTCATGTTTTAGGGCCGAATTCAGGCTTCAAAAATTACAAATTAGCGATCTGTAAGAAAACGATTTTCAGATTGTACGCACTTGTGCGAAGTGATTTGCGATCTCACATTTTCTAATCGCTAATTCGTGGTTTTCACGGACGAATTTCTCACTTACACGGATGGCGCACTCGACTTTTATCGAATTTAACGCCTTTAAATAGTAATTTGCTTACTTCAAAGTTTCTTAAGGGTATGCAACATATTAAATCCGTGTAACAATTAAGTTAGATTCCGACCCATATTTCGTTTAACAATATTGCATACAGCGCCATTTCCTCCCTGGTGGTGAGGTTTCGAACTTCCTTTTTTTCATGGCAAATAAATTCCCATGACCTCCTTTACAGGATTACCAAGTTTGATAACACTTGATCCAGTAGTTTTCCTTTTATGACTGTTTCAATGTGGAACTTTAATTATAACTACTCTGTATATTACATTCAAAAGTGGTTAATTCGGACACCCATAATCAGGAATGATCTATAATCCGGACCTCAAAGTTAAAAACTTTCTGCGCACGCGCCGCGTTGACACATGCGCATAGGCGTTTACACGTGCGCCTTAGACCTCTTACGACTGCGCATTTGCGTGTGCGCAAATACGTTTTCGCGTGCGCGTTTTATGTATTAACGAACGGTATAAGCTAAAATTATCTAATTATCTATTTCAGTTAATGTTGATGATTGCGTTGTTCCTTAATTTTCGAATTGGATCCGGCTTATTATTTTTTGCAGACTGTAAGAGCAATACTATAAAAGTAAACTTGAACTTTCGATTATGTTCAAATAGAATTTCCGAATCTGGAGCTCCCAAAGGATCGTACAAAACGAAAGTATGTTTCGATGTCCATCAAACAAAAAGTGGAATTGCTGCAAAAAATGGATAAAGACATGAAGAA